AGTAGTCATAACTGTTTTCTGTTTGCTTAAAAGTATTAATGCTGAAGCTTACTGAACTACTCTGGCTTGATTAAATGCATGGCAAAAATCAAGCACTGGCCTACTTTCTAATGCAAGGGCATACAAGGGCATGTGATCCTGCACCTTTCCTTTTGGATGGAGTCAAAGGAATAAGGTCATACAAATAAGGTCATCTGTGAAAGATAGCTGGCATAAAACCAGTCATACACCAGACATCATCCTTTGCAGCAATAAATTCTTTAGTGAGCTGGATGTCTGGGGGAGAAAAAAGGGATGTGGAAAATGAATGTGCCTTAAACATGATCTTCATCGTTCTGATGAGTTATTTAGTTATACATCCCTCTCCTATTGCTAAGTAGGAGGATATATCATGATAGCCATTCTGCAAAACATTCATCATCAGAAAATCAGCTTCCTCATACAAACTTCTCTGCTTAACACCTTCTTATTTGTGTATGTACCCAGTATTTTGTACTTGTAGGAGATTTTATATATATATATAAATTTTAAAAGGGAAAACAACATAACCTATTATACTGCTAATATGGTTGTCAAGAGGGAGAAGAAGGTATTGTCAGAAATTCAGAACTGGATATTTTAAAAATTATCTTGTTTACAGATGATTCTATAATAAACACATACAGACAAGACGGTGCTTTGGTTCTTGTTTCTACCACTCAAAATTATTAACACTTGATTGTTAGAGCTAAATATTAAAAAAAGTATCTTCAGACTCCCTCCCCATCCTATTTCTTCTTCAGTGTTCTTGAAGTCATTTTGGATACTGCTCCTATTTTTCCCTCTTCACCCAAAACACTTGACGTACCATGTTTCCTGATTAATCACTGCAATTTTTTATGTGACTATTTAGTGAGAGATTAAAAACAAACAAACAAACAAACAAACAAAAAAACCAAACAACACAAAAAAAAGCTGTGGAGGATCATGGAATCAGTCTGGAACAAAAGAGGCCAGACTGGTGTTATCTTCAGAAAACTTTTCTCTTCTTAGTCCCAATCCTTTTACACTTGCACTGTCTCTGATTTTTGGAGGTTTATTGCTATGTACTCATTTGTTTTTTACTATGCTATATATAATAATCACTGTTCTCTCCACATTTTAAGTTTCTTTATACCTTAATTTACAGTTTTCCTCATCATATTCTTGTTTGTCTGTGTTTATTTTTCATGGTATGTCCAAACCATCTCCTCTCAGCTTGTCCATACATTCACTCAAGCCCATGCCAAGTGATCTAAACTGGCTTTAGCTGTGACTTGAAAATTTTAAAACTTGCCTCAAGCCTTTATACCTCCATCTTTCCCCTCACAAAAAGAGTTTGCAATTCCAATAATTTCAACAAGAAGAACCAGTGTCAGGAGAATAACTGCTTGCCAGGGGCCTTTTTTAATTTTTAAAGTATTTTGGAATAAGTAAGAGTAGTAAGCAAGAATCCCAAAGATACAACAGAAACAGTGTTAACAACCACCAATACATTGAGATTTAAGTTTCATTTTTAATCTACTACTTAACAGTGAGACAGCAAAGCAGAACCACACTGAAGTAATTTATTTGAAAGGTTTTTCATTATCTGAAAATTTGATACTGGCATCTTAAGTGTAAGATTCTAATTTTATATACAGAATGGAATCTGCTGTTTTGGTGAACTTACTAACTAGTCCATTAGACTAATCCATATATATTGCATATACATAGAGAACAGAATTCATTGGTTTCAACTGGCAGATTAGATGATGCTCAACTCATTTGCAAATGATTGGATGTCTGACAAAAATACAGGAAGAAACAACTCTGTGGTAAGAGTAATTTCCTATATGGGAATCTTGCTGGACAGTCAGCTCTTGACAGATGCTCCAAAAGCAGCAAATACACTGGGCATTTATTCCCATTTGTACTTTTAAGAAGATTGTGACCTTTCTTTTGACATGTATTCCCCACGGCTCTTCCACAGTCATCTTATGTTACCCTAATAAGCCACTGCCTACGGTCTCCTGCTCTGAGAACAGTACAACCAGACCCACAGGGATGATAGCTCAAGGAAACACTTAAATTAGTGTACCAGCTTTTGTAGTGGGTAAAAAACAAGACCAAGCACTTGAGCTTTGACCACTTTAGAGAGTTTTCCTCTTTGCTGCAACTTAGATTAGTGTTGTTAGTCCTTGAGTAACCAGCCTTCGGCGTGTAACAGCTCAGGGCTGCCAGGAGATCTTTAACCAAGAGCCCTCTTCTCTGCAGTGCATACACATTCTTTGTTTCTACACATCAGGGCAAGAAGCCCCCATTTTTGTCATCAGCAAGAGTGTCATGCAAGATTGCTGTCTTTTCTAAAAGCATTCCTCCAGGGAATTAAAAGTGATCAGACAGTTTGAGAAAGGGCAATCTTAGCCTGCACTGAATACAAATCAAATAAATAAATGAAATTGTACATCACTTAAACTTACTGCTGAGAAGTATTGACAGCAGCATGGCCTTTTCCTTTTCCCTGGACTCTTCAAGTCTAACTTATATAGTTAGACTGCTCTTCCCTACTAGTATCCAAAATGCTCCTGACACTACATGCTGCAAGATTTCAATGGGCTGAAGGGTCATCTATTAAGGCGGACTTAGTAGTGATATTACATTTAATAGGGATTTAAGAGTCACTACTTTGTGTGTTGCAGGCTTGTTTGTTTTCCAAAGAATTATAGCAGCAAATAGTAAGTTCCAATCTCAGTTTAATTTCTAAATCAATTCTATGCTTTTAAAATTATTAAGTTATAATTACTTTCCATTACTTTAATTACTTTAAACTATAAAAATCAGAAACAGTTTCTCACTCTTTTGACCTTGGTCAAGATTTTAAATGGTCTCTTTCAGATCAATGGTTTAAGAATGCTGTGAAGTTTACAGTTACTTCTCCTACCTGCTTCAAGAAAATACTTCACATTTCTTTTATTCCAAACTCAGATTGGAAAAGGAGTGATTGGTTGGGGAGCAGAAGCAGCTCAGTTACTGTGGACAGGCAGAATTTTGTAAGAAGCCCCAGTGAAACAAAATAACGACAACAGTTATAATTGTATTTAAAAACTAGTATATTTGCATTTGCATAAATAGAACCCTTCTGAAAATGGATTCAGATTGCTAATATTTCCTAGCTGAAGGAAACTGAGTGATGACTTCTCTTCCACTTCAGTTATGAAACCAAGGGAAACCATTTTGTTTCCTTTTTATCCCATCACACCCCTCCTGAACTGTTTGCCTGATTTATAGGCTACATCCTCATCCAACAGAGATTTCCTTAAAGGTAGGAGGAGAAGATGATGTATTTTGAACAGGATTTGTTGATGGCTGAAGACTGTAACCCAGCCTCTAGCAGTGACAATAGCCAGCACTACAGTGCTCACCTTGAATGAGACAGTATTGGGGAGGTATCTCCAAACACCTGACAAAGGTAAATACTTGTGTTTGCCACATTGTGCTCTAAATTGCATTTAATAGATTGTGAGACAGAGTCTAACCAATCTTTTTACATATGACAACACCATATTTGGTTTATTACAAAAGTAGTCAGTCTAACCACTAAATTTTTTTTTAATTAGAAAATTATTCAGAAAAAAAAAATCAAGAAAACTGTAGATTTTTAATTCAAACTATTCTTAGACAAATTTTAAAGGACCTGTGATAAAATCTGACCAAAAAAAGAAACCAATTCCAAGGTATTCAAGTCACAGACTTTTTCCTACTTTTGCCTTTGCTGCACCAAAATACAGTGGCAATTCATGCAGTACCTCTAAGCATAAAACTTCCTGATATAAAGTCAACAAGAAAGAGAGCAATTACATATTCTGACCTGTGTTTCTTCGTTTCTCAAATATTCTTAATACTAGGGTGATTTCTATTTGCATTCTACAGTTTTGCAAGTCCACTAATTGCAATTCTAAAATGAATGTAAATTGTCTTGATGAGCACCATCCAATTTCTAATGGACAGGTGTTCACATAAAAATTCAACAGTATCAGCAACAAGCTAGCAGTAACTGGTGGGCTGAGGGGTATAAGAAATTATTTGGCTCACAGCTGAACTTCCTATTTAACCACAGGGATGATCAAATTAAGTCAAGGTCAAGTATGTGACAGAGCAGCTGTGCCATGCAGCAAATGAGGACTACTGGTGTGTGTGTATATATATATATATATATATAGCAATACTGTTTTGATTTTCTAACCCACCATTCATGTCTTGCAATTCAGAGCTGCTGCAGGAGAGAGAAAGTGGCCTCCTGCACTCTCAGCCTTTGAGTTCTACAGGTTCAGCTCCTTCGCAGGCTGCCTGAAGCCTTCACGGTGGAGCAGCCTCTTAGCACTCACTACATCACTTCAGTAGCCTAACTCTTGTCTACAAGGAAAATTTTACAGCTGTCCAACACAGCAACTGCTAACCAACAAACCTTCCCCCCACTGAAAGAGAGATGTTTAAATCTCCCTAACAGAATGAAAGGACTGGACCTGGGGTGATGTTCTCGCCCACAGAAAACTTTATTCTCAGATGTCGCTCATCTAGAGCTCCTATTAATTACTACAAACAGATGCTTTCAACATGGAGTAGTTTGGGGACCTGTAATGCTTTGGCTTAATAATCTTGACTTTCCTGTTTCAGTAAATGAAAATAAATTGATTTACAACAGTTAATTCACAGGTACTGAAAACAGTGGCTGTAATTTTTTTGATACCCATCTGTCCTCCTCTTACTCCATCTGTTTCCTTCACTCATTGCACTGGAATCCAGCTTCACAAAATGAAACCCAAGCTCTTTCATGTAGCACAGTGTAAGTTACCTAGTTACCCAGCTGAAAGACATTTTCAAAATAAATCACCCTTCTACTCTGCAGAAGGCAACAGACACAGATTTTTTGGTTAATATGTGTCTGAGCAATCTTTCTTTCCACAAAATATAAACTGTCAGTAAATTTCTTCTGATTTCAGATGGTGCATTTCAAAATAATACCATAACGGCTCACCATTTTAATCAATTATTGAGTACACCTTGGGGATTTTCCACCAAGTCCACTTAATGCTGCTTTTAAAATGGTAAGTACCTATTTAACTGTATGATTTATAGACTGGGTGAGATCTTTATAGCTAATATAACATATAAATGCAACAATTATGTGATTTAATTGGATTATATAGCCTTTATTAAACTGTGTTGACTGACTTTTTTTAATCTTCAACAATTCTTTGGCCTGTTAATGATTAAAGATTTGGATTTGACTCTTTACACTAAATGTAAGTGTTTAACAGGAAAAGAAAATCCAAGAAATCCCTCCTCTCTTACAATCCAAAATGGAAGATACAATATAAAGGCTGAAAATAATTATTTGAGAAATTTTGAATAGCACAAATAAAAAAGCCACTACTAAACCCCATGTGTTTTATGGGATACTATAAACAAAGGATATTTCCATTATTATCTAATCTTTAAGGCAGTGTGGTAAGTGAGGTCATTCAAAGGTCAACAAGGGGGGTTGCTGTTGCTCTATAAAAGGGCTCACACTTTAAATGTAAGTATGTCAGTGTTCATGGTGCCTTTAACTTTTACACTAATGGTATCTAGAATACCTACATGCCTTTGGTTTATGCATTTACCACTTCATTATTGGCATCACATTAAAAGGGAATAGTTACAATTTATTTGTGCTACAAAGGTCTTTTAACTGATATTGAATTTACACAGAATAGAATAATCAAGAACACTAGCATACAGAATACAGTTTACAGGAACATGCAATTAAACACCCAACTTTGTGATTAGGATCATAGTAACTCTACTTATCACTTCAGGTTTTTTTAATTCAACACATTATTTTACCGAAATTTCAGTAGCATAACTGCCTGAAAGAATTTTATTTAGTCAAAAGCTGTCTCTCTCTTGCGACATAGAAGTGTTTATAATATAAGGGAACTTAGAAATGTGTAGTGAGAACTTAAGTTAGAAATAAAATATTTTTCCAAGATGAAAACAGAAACAAGCCCTGGTAATAGCACTTTGTAAAATAGAACTTTCATATTACAGATCCATTATTTAGTATTTGCCATCATTTAGGCAGCTAAAAAAATGAGGATTGCCATTCTTTTAATCTTTATGAGTATTTGAATACATATAAGCCCATTTTTCCTTTCTATGGCCGAGTTTGAAGCACTTACAAATGAAAGCAAAAAACAAATGGATGGCATTAATCATACAGAAAAAAATAAGAGTCTATATGCCTCCTGTAGTCCTTTAAAAAGCATTAATATTTGCATAAAGCTAAAGCAAGAAAACTCTTACATGCAAAAACATGTATCTTTTAGACATCTGCTAGCTACTTACCTTGATCTGCTCTATAAATAGAAACTAATTTTGGAGAGACTAAAACCAAGACAATGCCCTAGGAAATAAGGGGCAGTCTTTTAAAGTATACTCAAAATGGTGTGAGTAAATCTGTATCATACAGATACATATTTAACACATTAATCTTTTTGGTCTAATCTTTCTCCTTTTACAAGCAATAGTTAAAGTTTCACTAACTCCATTAAAGGCAGAATCAGTGTTGGTGCATTCTTTCACTAGTAATATTTCCTACCCTGCAAAGTATCAATATTAACTGTGAATGGCAGAACTGTAAAGACTCTAGTGAAAAAAAGTATTCAGACCTGTAAATTAATGCCTGAGCTCTGACTTTCAAGTGAAGACAGAGATCAGCAAGTCAGCTGCTGCTCATATTGCTTTCTTTTTCATGATCAATAAAACAGAGGCTTGGGGAGTGCTTAGTAACCTAATCCATTCCTTTCCAGGAATTTGATATAAGTTTTCTTTTAACATATATTTATAAAAAAAGCAGGAGAATAAAGTTAACTTCAGAAACAAGCATGATCCAAGGCTATAATTCAAACCTCAACGCTGACACAGTATAGGGGTCAGCAGTGAGGTTGAAATTTCAAATTGATATGCTGAGTCAATTCCATCAAGGTGGGTGTAAGGGCTTCTCAGTTTCAAAGGGTAGCTCAGCTGCTGGTTTTGGACAGTCATGTTTCACAGACTTACTGCAGAATTGCATATCAAGCAGTTTCTTGGAGCAAATAGCAACATCTTTGTATGTTGGCAAAAGGAGGCTGATGAAGGACAAAATAGAAGGCACTTCAGCCACTCAGAGCTGGAGAGCATCATTAGAGAGACTGAAATGGACCTGGGTCGGGAAAGTTATTTTCCTTGGGAAAGGACAGGAAGAGGTGCCACTAAAGTCAGCCAAGTTAAAAGCTGCATGCTGGATTTCACAAAGTTAAGCACAACTGTGTCCTTTATTTTTAGACATCTGCACTAAAGGAAGGGAGATTAAGAAGCCTGAAATGATTATCCTTCACAAGCAAAGTCACTTAGAAATCTGATCTGTATGATTGCAGACACTTGTAAACATTGATTCACCAGGATACAGCACTGAGCTATAATTCACATAGTTTTAGCACCACACAGCAAGCCGGCAGTCAAAAAATGTGTCCCATTAGAACAGTGTACAAACTGACAATTTGCTATGCTGCTTTACAAAATCAAAATGGGAGGAAATATCTTTAGGTTTGCCTCAACCTACCATCTGCCTACAGAAAAAGGCAAAATGCATTAATTTACATATAACATTTTGCCAGCCAAGTAGCAGCAATCCCTTCACCTAAAAAGGGACTATTCTATATCCCTTCAGTCTTGGCATATACATTTTCTGTGACAAAAATAAACCAAAGCAACTGACTATTTATCAGTGTGCAAAAAAGCACAGCCTAGGATGGAATACACAACCCAGTGTCCACGCTCCCTGTTTGCTATATACTGCTACCCTGACATGCAGAATATTTGCACAAATATAGGGATCCCTCAATGGCACAGGAGGCAGCACTTGCAGCCTAGACCAGCCCTAGTCTGTGCCTTCAGAAACCTATTTCACACCAGCTGGATGTTAACCTAAATAGCATTTACCTGAGTTTCAAATAAATTACACACTCTGTCGTAACTTCCTGATTCAGAGCAGAACAGCACAATCACTTCAGTCTATCCTAAAGCGAGGGCAAAATTAATTGTGTAAGGAAGTCTAAGTGGATGCGCTGGGAATGCTAAGTGAGGAACACAGATAATCATTTAAAGAAAAAGCAGTTAGATCACAGAGAATGCATTTAGGTAGTTACAGCCCCAATTATTTAATTTCCAGCTACTCAAGACTATGAGACCACAACCTGAAAATTTATTCAATTACTTTTGGTTTGTAGACAGGTGCTGAACTACAGGATTTTATTTTTCTATGGTTAACAGATCAGAATATGCTTTTCATTCATACTTGATTTTTAGATTTTACTGTTAATGCAGAAAATCTGCATAATACTGAAAGCTAAAGAGGCAGTGTCAAATAAATGGAACTTAACATCAAAATAGCAGGGCCTATTGCAGTTTTTGGTATCTTTTTATATTTAATTACCTGAAAACTTCAGAATTTCAATTCACTGACAAATAACATATTCATTAACACAAAATTATGATTGTCTGTGGTGTTTCATATTCTTCTAGAAGGCTGACTTCAGAAACATAGAAACTTTGGAGGGGGAGGTGCCAAGAAGGAAACAAACTGAAAAAACCTTAGCTTACCTCACCTCACCTCACCAAAAGCAAAATTCCCTGTTCAAATTCAAACTGAATGGCATATTGGAGGCAAGAATACAACAAGGATTACATAAAGCAAATTGTGTGAATGATGACTTGAGGAACATGGCAAAGAAAAAGGAGAATCCTCAAGGCTGGAGACACAAATAAACCAAATATCTGCATTAATTCAAACAAAACATGGAAAATGTTGACAGTGTGTTTACATAGCCTCTTGAAAGACAGGCAAATAAATAGGATCTATCAATCATCAGAGGGATATGCCTTTTTCTTTTCTGCCCACCTTCTGCATCATCAAGTTCAGCGTTATCAGTAGGACATATTTTACCTTCTGAAACAAAGTTAAGCACAGCAGCCCTGATGCCGTGAGCATGGCAATATTTCTCAGCTGTGCCTGGTCTCTCTGCTACTGAATAATCTATTGCAATCAATGTATTAAAGAACAAACCCAATACAGTTTTCATGATGGCAACCTGAGGAGCTATACTAAAATTGCAGTTAATTATGTATGTATATGTAGGGTTTAGGTCTGGCATGAAATTGCTCTTTAGTTTGCTAGGCAGACAAAAACAAACTGCACTCACATTGCAAAGCAAAGAGGTGAAATTTCACTTTACTCATATCTCATAGAAAGAAACAGCTTTTCCTTGTTTTTCTTGTACATGGGTTTAAATGACACTGATATCCATCCATACAGAAATGAGCACTGAATGCTGTCATGTTACAGGAGAACTGCAGCAGTGTGCAAGAAACATATATAGGCCCAGTCCTGCATAATGTCAAGCTTGCATATTCCTCCATGATAATCCCTGGATGTACAAGGAAATTCACCATGCTAATGGTCACTCGATTATTTTCTTTACTGTACCAAAGCACTTGTAGCTAAGGCACAACTTTTCGGTAGCTCACGCAGGAGCTTTTGTTCTCTTCTGGTCAGGCTAGTACAGCCGTCTATTTTCTATTTATTGGATTAATTCTTTGCCTGTTGACTTTCTCCCTTCCTTTCATACCCTGTAAAAGGTTTTGGCTGGGACAGAGCTAGTTGTCTTCATAGCAGTTTGTATGGTGCTGTGTTTTGAACTTGTGGCCAGAACAGTGTTATCAGCATCAAGGCCACCTCTTTCTGATGCCACCCTACCACTGAGTAAGCTGAGGGTGCTCGAGGAGTTGGGAGGGGACACAGCCAGGAGAACTAACCCCAAATGACGAGCAGAATATCCCCCACACACCACATTACATCAAGCTGATCAATAAAGCTGGGGGAAAGAAAGGGGAAAGAGGGATGGTCTGAGTAACAGTGTTTGTCTTCCCAAGTAACTGTTATGCACAGTGACTCCCTACTCTCCTTGAAATGGATAAATCGCTGCCTACCAGGGTTAACCCACAACTGACACAAAATACTCAGTTA